TCCCACGGTCTGTGAACAGCAAACGAAAGGAGTCTAAAGTCTCGACTTTGGCGAAGCACTTTGAACAGTTGAGTCGAGAATTTGAAAAGGAGCGGTTGCGAGACAGGAAACAGCGGGCAGCAAAAGTTACGCAGTCACGGGCTTTCCCCAAGGCCTCCTCCAAACCGATTGTTGAGGTTTATAAGGACGTCAACGAGGCTGTTGAAGAGCGGGATCCTAGTGACGCGGTGTTGGGGAATGTTGAACCTACCCATCCGAATGCTGAAGCTATAAGTGTGGTTGGTGGACTCGCGAATCTCAACACAGAGGCTGTTTCCCATGAACCTGCGCCGGATTCACCAACAGGCACTGCTGCTACGGCAGACGAGACCGCAAACGAGACGGACGACAACCAGCAAAATGTCAGCCAAGCAGGGTCGGATGATGACGGTGCAGGGAGTGACGTAGACCATTCTTTACTCGACGATATCATACCCGGTGCGGCAGAGATTGCCGAGTCTCTGGGTGCCGGAAAGCAGAATGTCGATGTTCCTTTGGAAATTCCAAAGCACGAGAAATCAACTCTGATGAAGATGTTGACAAACTTCTGGGCTGAGCGCTCTGCCAGTGGCTGGACCCCACTCGATTACCCCCTCAATGCTGGCGACCACATATTTGCGGATGTAGATGTTATCGTACGCGAGGATGAACCTAGTTCTTTGATAGCATTTGCACTTCAAACCCAAGACTATAAGGATAAGCTTGCAAATATTCGATGCCAGGGCGAAGCCAGCACGAAAAAGGACGATCAAAGGTCGCCAGAGCAGGATGGAACCCCGGATATCTGTGATGATGGGCTCGATCAAGCCGAAGTTGAAACATCGTTGCTGCGAGCAACTGGCACCCACTTGGCATACTCGTTCACTGATGGTTCCGCCAAAATGCAATGCAAGATCTTCTTTGCCGAACAATTCGATGCGGTACGCCGCAAATGCGGGGTCTCGGATCGGATCGTCGAATCCCTTTCACGATGTCTAAAATGGGATTCCAAGGGTGGGAAAACCAAATCGGTCTTCTTGAAGACTCTGGACGATAGGCTGGTCCTCAAATCGCTCTCGCCCATCGAGACGGCGGCATTTCTCAAATTCGCACCTGCTTACTTCAATATTATGGCTGAGGCCCTATTCCATGATTTGCCCACTGTCATTGCAAAGATGCTCGGGTTTTATCAGATTATCATCAAGAATCCCGTTACTGGGACGGAAATCAAATGGGACGTTCTAGTCATGGAGAATTTGTTTTACGATCGTTCACCAACCCGAATTTTCGACCTCAAAGGATCGATGCGAAATCGCAAAATCCAGTCGACCGGCGAGCAAAATGAAGTACTTCTGGATGAGAACATGGTTGAATTTATCTATGAGTCGCCACTTTTTGCGCGCGAAGTAAGTATTTCCATGCCGTCGAGAGACAAGTGCTAATTCAGTGTAGCACTCTAAAAAGCTTCTTCGGGCTGCCATTTTCAACGACACCCTATTCCTGCAAAGAAACGATGTTATGGACTATTCACTCATGGTGGCTGTCGACGAGGTATGTGCGTAGGAAGTCGGTGTGGGCATGAGCTAACACTTCACAGGCTAGGAAAGAGCTCGTCGTGGGGATCATCGATGTTGTTAGAACATACACCTGGGTGCGTATACTTGCAAAATGTGGCCTTGTCGTCAACTAACTTTCAGAAGGACAAAAAGCTAGAGTCCTGGATCAAAGACCGAGGTTTTGCAGGTGGTGGTCGCAACCGCCCAACAGTCACGTCGCCGAAGGTATGGTGATCCAAATCGATCTTTCGGATCTCGCTAACGAACCGAATCAGGAATACAAGAGTCGCTTCCGAGAAGCCATGAATAGATACATCCTGCAAGGTATTTACTTTCCTCGCCCGAGAACAACCGGTTGCTAATCTTTAACCAGCCCCGAACAGCTGGCATCAATGGCAGCAGATGGACACCAAGCCGCAGAAAGACACAAAGTCTGAGGTAGCTCCAGAGAATCCATGAGCTTGAATATGGACATGAGATTACGGCCAATTAATAACGAATACCTTGTAATCAGCTAGCTAGGAATCATAGATTAGAATAGAGGGTACCTTCGTTCAAAACTCGGGCTGGTTTTCCCGCTACATGTTCTCACTGCTCGGCTTTATCCACTCACTATGGGAGGAGGGATGTTTCAAGATTGTTTCTTAATTCCAGGCAGGTCGTCTGCAGGGGAGCGAGTAATCTGTTTTCTTTCCAGTGTTGCTTTCAAAGCGGCCGAACGGACGAGTGTCCCCCCACTTGAATCCCACGTCCTTCGGCACCAAATTTCTTTACGGAGGTTATTTTTACTGCGTTCGATCATGTTTCATCACCTTTGTTGATTGATTGAATAGTGCCGTGTCAATCTGGTCCCTCGCAGGTCTCTGTCCTGCCAGAAGCAGCTCCTCGTAGTGCCTGCTTGCGAGCAAGTACCATTCTTCGCTACACAAGTCGATACGTTCCTAACCTAGCCTCCAACTCTAAGAGGAGCTGTGTCGGTCTTGAAGGGTGGATGTCTGCCGTGAGGGATAAAGGGAGGAGTGGGGGGGCTGGGCGTTGGTGACTCAGGATTGGGTGTCTCGGGCCTGAGATGGCTTCGGCAACTTCAAGGAAGTATCCGGTTCGAGGAACGGCCATTGTTCGCGCTATAATCCAGAATTTGAATATTGGGGGTTTTTTTTGGTCCTTTTTTTTGGTATTTTGAAACGTTATGTAGACAGATCTACTCATATGTATACTGCGTACATATTTCCAATGCCAGCCTCGACAGCGTTTTCAGGCCCAAAATTCAAAACAGAGATGTCCCGTACAGCTTACCAGATTTTACCTTGGCTTGGTTACTGAGAGACATGCCTTTCGAGATTTAATAGAATTTGCGCCCTCTAGTTTCACAGTTTTGAAAGTTCCGCCTTCCGAGGTCCCATATATCCAAACAAATACGCTGCAACTTTTCTCATCTGGATCTCTTCACTTCCCTCGGTTATTCGGTAGCGACCTGTTAACGTCAGTAGAAGTCCATGAATAGATCTACATCGACTCACGATGGTGGCGGTATATGTGCTCAAAGCTACACAGGATGTCAGTCGATCATTTTTCCACCTTTTGCAATAGAGCGAGTTTGTTGCTTACGCTTTGTGTCTGGAATATCCGATCCCACCTGTGAAAGTCAGTACATTTTACCAAGACTGATAAAGAATACGCACCGTGGATTTGCATCGCCCGATCAGCTGCTTGGGTACAAAGCCGATTACCCCAATACTACCACCCGTCAGCCATGATCCTTCGAGTCAAACCAGTTCATACATTGCACATCGAAACTTTATCTCCCAAATCCCGTTCAATCTCTTTCTGAGTCATCCCATCCATCTCAGTCGCTGTCTTCAGGATCAATAGTTTCAGCATCGCTGCCTGGGTCGAGAGCTCTACAATCGGAAATTGGATGCTCTGGTTCGTAGACAGCTCCTTCCCAAATGGCTTTCGTTTCCTCGCATACTTGATGCTTTCCTCGATACAGTACTCTGCAGCACCGAGAGAGCTCGCTGCTTGACGTAATCGATTCTCATGAACGAACGTCTGGGCAATGGGAAGCCCATGTCCAACCTTCCCGAGTACTGCCGAATCAGGTACGAATACATCGGTGAATTTCAAGGCTAGATGGAGTGTTACTTCAATTCGAGATACAAAACGGGCAGGATTTTGAACTCACTCGCATGATCTGTTGGCATATTGAATGTCCACTCGTAAGATTCAATCTCAAATCCTGGGGCGTCTTTTGGAACAAAGAAGGCAGTTATTCCAATGGCATCCCCGGCTTTCCCATCCGTCCTTGCAAATGTCAAACAATGAGTGGCCTTGTGGATGCCACTAATCCACATCTTCTTCCCGTTGATCTTCCACCCTTCGACGCCGTCCTTTCTGAACCTTTCTGCCCACGTGGACATGTGAGTCGCATCACTCCCATGCTCGGGTTCCGTCAATCCAAAAGTAAACCCAACCTTTCCCTCCAATCTCCCAGCGATGAATTTTTGCTTCTGCTCTACAACACAATAAGTAGGTAAATACTTTATCTTCCTTTCTTTACTTCATAGCTGGAATTTCATACCTGGGGTTCCAAACTCCTTCACCATCAACACGTCAGGGAAATTCCCAACAATACTATGCTCGTTCTGCAAATCATTGAATAAGCCCAGCCCTTTCTTCGCCAGGTGTATCCGGATCACAGCCATCCACAGATTGCCACCATTCTGGCCCCCAAACTCCTCGGGGAGGCAGAATCGGTAGAAGCCCGCTTCGTCGGCGAGCTTGCGTGCGGAAGCCAGGAGGTCCTCCCACTCGTCGCGAGGGAGTCCTTTGTTGTCCCAGTCGGTCCGGGCGTGCTCGCGGCGGTGGTCGAAGAATCTTGAGTTGTCGTTGGATGCTTGGAGGGGATTAATTTTTGTGGTGATGAAGTCGTCGATTGAGGAGAGGTATTTTTGGAGGTCTGGTGGGAGGGAGAAGTTCATGGCGCCGTGGGAGGGGTTGGGAGACATGGTGAAGCGAGGGAGGAGGGTATGAGCGGAGAGTGACAACAAAATAATAAAATAAGCGGGCTGCAAGTTGACTGTAATATTGAATTGGTTACAGATCAATAAATGTCCACCTAAGGCACTTCACACTCTTTCTTATAACATACTTAAATTATATATGTAAGGTATCTATATAATGTACATAGTGTTTGTCTTCTTGTGTGAAGAGCCCTTCGGCTTTCTTAGGTCAGAAGCGGGGTCTCAGCCTCGGTTATGTCGGCCACTGCAATGCCTCACTTTCTTGACTTTACCCCAAAAGATTATACCGTTCTGATTGCGCAGAGACCTTTATCATAGCCACAAGTTCTTTCTTAATATCAAGTGCGGCGGCAGTCAAAAGAGAAAAAATCAAAAACAAATTTGCAGACTTCTCGTAAGTTGAAGGTCACCGCGAGGATTGAACTCGCGACCTGCTGCGATATGAGGTCTCTGGCGAGACTTTGTAAAGCAGACGTGATAACCACTACACCAGGCGACCATTGGAACTTGAAAAGTCTGCTGAGTTTGCCGAAAGTTCTTATCTTGGTAGATTTTTAGCTTAGTAAATTATGGCCAATCATTAATTCAAACTGGGCTGATCCACCTCAAATTGAGCCTAGCGAGGGCACGTTACTCTGTGTGCATTAGTTCTGTGAGTCTTGGTCTGACCACTGCTAGCGGGTGCACTTGAGTGAGGTTTCGGGGCTAGGTTTGTCTAGCTTCACCCTCGAGCACAATGCGGTCAATGATATGAATTGATTTATAGTATATAGGGCTTACATTTCTGGACTTACTTCATTCATATGCCTTAACCAGGATAGACATTCATTTTCATCCACGTCTTGGTTATTTCTCTCTTCGTCAAGACTGTTCTTTCTCTTCCCATGCTCGCTTAGTAATATCAATTCAGTCCCATTTCCAAGGTCAAGCCCAGCCAAGCCATCAGATGAAACATTTCCCGCAGTTCATTGGATTCCAAGTCCACGCTTAAAAGCTAGGTGTAACTTTATAAACTTTCTTATTTCACTCTGCAGACGTCACGGCTTCGCTCATCCTCTCTTCCCCTCATTTCTAGAGCTGTCACGATTCAATTCGCTCTGTCAACACCTCTTTGTCCAGCACCACCGGCAACCACCATGAGCCCTTCAGACCACCACCATGCCCGCAATGGCGAGGATCCCGGATCACCGACCGAAACACATGCTTTGCTACCCAGCTTCCTCCCTCAGACCATCCACCCTGATGGCGAAAGCGGGAGGCGCGGATTCAACCCAGTGCATTTCTTCAAAGTCCTATGGCGCAGTTCAAACCAAGTATCCATGGCAGTCAATCTGCTCTGGCCGTTCTGTTTTCTCGCGATCATCATGAATTTTGTCACTCCACATCTGGATATCTGGGTCTTCGTCGTCAGTTATATCGGCATGATCCCTGCTGCTAACTTGCTCGGGTTTGCTGGCCAGGAGTTTGCTCGGAAGATGCCTAAGGTTTCCGGGATTCTCATCGAGACTACTTTTGTAAGCATTCATGGGCTTCGATGTCCCAAGTCCGCGGGATTTCAAACTAACTTGTACGGTTATTTAGGGGTCCATAGTCGAGATTGTTCTCTTCCTGATACTTATCATCAAGCACCAAGCTAGCACTGGTGAAGACACAGCTGAGCATGGGAATCTCATTCCCATTATTCAGGCAGCAATTCTTGGATCTATCCTGACGAACTTATTGCTATGCTTAGGTTTGTGTTTTGTTGTGGGTGGAATCCGACAGCAAGTCCAGACCTTCCATGCCGCTGTCAGTGAAGTTGGCAACAGCCTCTTGCTCGTTGCTGGATTTGGACTACTGATTCCAAGCGCATTCTATTCGGCACTGAAAGGCTCGGCAATCCCCCAATCGGAACCTCACCGTCACCACAGCTTCACAGACAAGAAGCTAGAACATGATATACTTGGGATAAGTCGAATCACCTCGATACTGTTGATAATTGCATTTGGAATGTCAGTCGCTACTCCGGTTATGTACTTTTCAAGGTGGCTGACCATACTAGGTATATTTGGTATAACGCACGTACAAACCACAGTATATTCGATGAGGTTTTGGAGCAAGACGAGCACAACGATCTCGATCATCATGCAGACTGTACGTACTCCACCCACCCCTTGCCTCAAGCGAAGCGGGAACTTTCATTCAGTCGTGCAAATTATTTGACTGCATCCCCTAAGAAAATAGGCCCAACATCGTTTCAGACCGGATCAGAGCTAATTATCCTGTAGTGGCAAAACCCAAGTTCACACTAACAGAATGCTTGATTGCAATCACCGGCTCAGTGATTTTGGTCATCATACTAGCCGTACTCCTCGTAAACCGAATCGAAGATGTCGTCGAAGCCGGTATCCCAGATCAATTCCTCGGCTTGATACTTCTCCCTCTCGTAGAGAAGGCTGCGGAGCATCTCACCGCAGTCGACGAGGCATGGGACGGTCAGATGAACTTTGCCCTCTACCACTGCCTTGGACCCTCTATCCAAACCGCTCTTTTCAACGCACCATTAGTCGTCATCATCGGCTGGATCTTAGACAAGCCCATGGACCTCAACTTTGAAATATTCATGATCGTCCTACTCGTTCTGTCCATCTCGGTCGTTGGGAACTTCCTCCGTGATGGAGAATCAAATGCTCTTGAGGGTGGATTGCTTGTCGTAAGTCGAAATTAGGACTACCCAGATGAGGTTTTTCTGTTGACCTGACTTTTTTAGATCGTATACCTCATCATCTCTGTTGCGGCTTGGTTCTACCCAGACCCGGATGTTGCAACCTCAAACGGGGTAGCTTTTGCCAGCGAACTGTACAAGTGAGCTGGTAGCTTGCTCCTACGCTTGGGCTGCTGATCGGACTCAGATGGACGACGACTTCGCACTAAGCCATTCGAAGTCAATGCTTCTTTGCAGGTAATTGAGGAAGTTGGTATAGGTATTTGGCGTTACTTTTGGATAATGCAAATTGAGCTACAGCTACCTTTGACGTCTGAATTACGGCCATGTGAATTTTTGGGTCTTCTTGGCTTCGATATCCCGGAGATGTCAAATAGTTGTCCCGGGCGTAGAATACTGCTCTCTGCATAGTCTAGTTCCTTTTAGAACCGCCGTTGGTAGTTTAAAACTTTCTTTTGACAGTATACTCGCGTTGGGTTCGCGGGAAAAAAAGACGGTAAGTAGAATATCTACGGGGATAATGGGAGATCCTATTATGAGCTCAACGAATAGCATGTGCAGGCCATGGTCTGGAAATCGTAGTTCATGAGCCTTTTGCTAAGCTACGTGAATGGGACATGTTTGCACACGAGGTAAGCTTCTCATGAGATGACGTAAATGATCAGACCGCAAGCCCCCCACACCAAGTAAAAGCAGTCTCGGCACATCACAAGATCTCGAGTAAATGGACAAGTCAATAGGTATCTGCTTGGTCCCTGATGAGTGCTCTCCAAGAAGAATGAAAGCTTGCCGCAAGTGCTGTGAGTAAAGAGTCAAGAAAGTGCAGACGCGAACCACAATTGGCGCTTGATTTCCAGAACCACACCCACGCTCCTTGGCTATCTCGATCTCAATCTGCTAATTTCGAGTCTTTGTTGCACTCAGACACTGTATTTGAACGCTCGAATCTGTCCCCAACGCATGAGCTGTGGAGATCCCAGACTGCGACCGATGTTAGTGTCATCAAACTCGAGGCCAGTCCGGAGGAGTTTGATTTCTGCAGAGCTGAAAGAACGGGTATGGACTTTGAAGCCTCTCCCGCAGCGATACGAGTTCTCGGGTTTCTGGTAAGGCTGCTGCTCATCATCTCCTAGGGGTTTCGATAGCACTGCAATATTATTTTAGTATTGTACCTACTTATAGGTGAGAGTATGATTTGGGGGAAAAAACACCTACAGTTGAACACATGCTGTTCATAAAATAGATTCGATAGGTTCAATCTCGACAGATCTGGCAACTGGGAAATGTGTCTGATGACACGCTTCCAGGATCCAGATGTTAGTTCCATCTCATCGATAGTGAGGTCCGAGATAGATTGGTGGTTGTCGATGAATGCCAATAGTGACTTCTCAGATGCAGGTATACCGCGGAAGAAAACTTGTGTTAGTAGGGGCAGTTTGACCTCGTCAGCGATATGATCAAATATCTTCTGATATGCCGTGGAGGGACCACCCAGGGTATTGGTCATGTGAAGATCAAAGGCGTCGAGTTTGGGCATCAGGCGCAACATGCTGGCTACTTGACATATCAGCACTGCTTGTATTTAATCAATCGATATCTCAGGGCCCAGCTCAGACATTGGAATCGCAGTCTCAGGAAACGGAACTAAGGGATTCGACTCTTCGGACATCAAGGAAACAAGACGATAAAAATACTGACCTATGCCAGGGAAATTCTCTTCCACTGTCGCTTCGGGATCTTCATCTGAGTATTGGCCGTCGTTGGAGCCCTAGGCAACAGCTTGTGTCAGTAAGATGTGGAATGAGTCAACCGTTGACAATCAGGTAGCACTCACCAAAAGACCGTGGTAAGCTGCAGCCGCACCCTCAAGTCCATCCCTCGCCGACTCAATCTTCGAGAAATCTGTCTGCACCCGGGTCGAGAAGCTGAGGGCAAAGTTTTCGAGTGAAGAGAAGGCTGACGCAAAGCCCGGCATAGCTTCAATTTTTGCCATGTGGGATGTCACATCGAAAGAAGTAACGCTGCACTTGGGTGTTTCGCGGTAGATGAGGAGCGAATTCAACGACACCCCACTCAGACAGATTGCAGACGTCGTTATCTGGTAGACTTCAGACGCACGGATAAATACCGGGTGCCACTCTCCAGCCTGAGCAGTCGAGACTCGTGTACGAGGGCTTTTGGTAAGGCAAGCATCCACGTCGATTGTGTCTAATGCCCCGTATAAACGCAGGACGGCGGCCAAAGCATCAATGCTTTCGGGCAATGTCTGTATTCTCTGATGAGTCTGCTGGGCATGCATCCATTCCAGATCTGATGCTGCTTGAAGAAGCTCATCATCCGTAAGCCCCGACTCTGTCGTTGTAGTGAAGGGGCCTTTCACCTCCACGATCCGACGCCTCTTGGTTTTGAGCATACGATCAAGCTCTGAGGTATCAAATACGGCAGCCATCACGACCAATTCCTTGACTGCTGAGCGTAGTTGAGGATGAGAGGCTAACTCCCGTTGGCTTCGTAGACTTTCAACGCTGAGGTCCGTGGTTTGTTGGGCAATAAAGTGCTTGAAGCGGGGGCCAACAGTAGAGAGATATTTGCAAGTAAGTCGAATGCTCTTGACATCAACCAGCTCCAGGTTATCGAGAATAATCCCAACAACGTCAGGTGGAATAGCCGTCATAGGACATGGTGTCTTGGCCATGGTGAAAACTTGCTGGGCACCTTGTGCTGGTACTGTACAAGGTAGCTAGAGATACGCTGTTCGAATCTTTCGTGAGTTTAGCGAAACTGCTACGAATTTC